ATTTATTTATTTATTTATTTATTTATTTATTTATTTATTGGATTTCTCCCCCGCCCATCTCCCCCACAATAGGGGACTCTGGGCGGCTTTTTATCTGCTTCCTGGGAAAAACGTCTTACCCACATTGCACAATTTCATTTTCATTGACAGAAGCCTATGCAGAGAAAACAGGAGTTTGCAGGATGATATTACAGGCAGTTATCACAGTGATGTTGGTTTGTAATGTTAAGAGGTTGTCACAGATGATGTTGTAGGTAGTTATCACAGTGACTTGGGTGTATTCTCTCCCTCTACTTTTTCTGGTCAAGCCAATGATTTTTTTTTTTTATATGCTATGATTGAAAAGCAAAAAGGAAAAAAAAAAAAGCAATGGTGAGGAGTCCATTTATTATTCTTTTCAACTCAACAGAATGTTGGAAAGAAATTACATAATGGGACTCAGGACTCAGCAGAATTACGGCCAAAAAGCTGAACAGAATGGGACCAATTTTTTTTAGGGCAGGGGGAAGCTGGAAAAAAAAAAAAAAAAAAAAGAGTTTGAAAATGCACTGGATGAGGCTGGAGGCTGTGGAGAAAAATATTTCTGAAAAAATCCCCCAAGACCCTCAGGGGAGAAGCAGTTGAACATTACCATTCTAAGTCTCTGTCACTCCCTGCCACTCTGTGCTTAGTATACACCACACACACAAACACAACACAAAGAGAGAAGAGAAAAGCGCATGTACACACGGAGAAGCACTACATAAGCACGTACCCTGATTAGACCCACCCACATGCGCACAGGAAACATATATGCACATACCCTAACTGTGGACTTGGGGAAAAAGTCCACATGCACACAGATGCAACATGTTTATTCTATGATACAGAAGAAAATTCAGATACCTCCTGCCGCCACTGTTGGAAAGAATTGCAGGAGCCGTGCTCTGCATGTTCCCCCCACCTTCTTTCCTAGAGGAAATATTGCTTATTGATCATCTGGTTCTCTCTGCAGTTTGTCTCTTGTGTTGAAGACAGCTGCCCCCCCCCCCCCCCGCATTTCGCCTGGCTAACTGATGGTCAGTTACAGTACAGTATCACCATTTTTGCTCACATTGGCCAGAACTGCAGGGGGATCAAGGAAAAGAGCAAAATTATCTGTGGCAGGAGCACACAAACTCAGCCAGCACTGAGGAGCCATGTTGAACAGCAACAGATTGATTAGAATTATAAATAAAGCTTCATGGATGACAATTAATTTAAGCCAGCTCCGGGCCTGGAATCTAAAGGCCAAGTCTCTGTTCTAGAACATGGTTGGACCTGAAATCAGGAATGAATCACTACAATAGAAGAGAAAATAGGTAACTCGGGTCTGAACTGTGGAGTCCTTGGTGCTCTCTGAGCTTGGTTGTTTGCTTGCAGACGTTTCATGACCCGACCAGCTAACATCATCAGTGCATGTCTGCAAGCAAGCAACCAAGCTCAGAGAGCACCAAGGACTCCACATGAGTGACTACAGCTTTCTACCAGAAGTACCATTCTGATCTGTGGATGTGGTTTCCAGGTACAAGATTTAAGGGTCAGATGCAACATAGTGCAGGATCCCACATTTTTATACTGGGGAAGAAAAGAAAGTTTCAACCAATGTAACTATTCAACATGCAGGAGCTCTGCACATTCTGTAATAAAGTGAAAGGAAGCCATCTACATAAACATGAATGAAAAAGGTGAAATTATTTCCTGATTTAACCATTCTTTAAGCAAAGTAAAAAGTGTATTAAGTGGCATACAAATGGCAGCCCCTGGCTCACCTTAATGGTTTTTGGGGGAAAAAAACTAATCAGAGACAGACCTAGTTAAAATCCCAGAGCTTGGAGGTCAGAAAGCATCTTAGAGGGCAGCAGCAAACCACTTCCATGCCCAATCTCTGGCAACCTACTTCGACAGAAAGCAAGATAGTTCCCGGGATTCATTGAAAAGAATATGATAAACTTGGAGAAATCTCAGCAACTGGATAGCTTTCACTTTTAGAACCCAATTTAACCCCAGGCTAACTAAGGCAAATGCTTTTTCAGTCTTTTGCTAAGGGTGAGTTGCTGATGAGGCCATTCTCTTAGCTGAGAAGAATGTCCAGGTGGCCAGGATGGGCCCTGAACATTCCATACTGCTGCCAAGAAAACTACATTGGGTGGGGGTGCTCATAGACAACAGAAGTTAAGCCTGACTCAAGAGTGTCTTTACTTTTTTATCTGCATTGATACTTAAGGTGCTTTCTTGGGCTGTTTGCTGAAGGCACACCACTGGGAGCTGTGATAAGACAATGTGAGTTTCTTTAAGAGCCAGTGGAGTATTAATGAGATCTGCCTGAACACATCCTATGAAAAGGAGCCCACCACTTCTTTGGGCAACTTCATTGCATCATTGCTGAACTGTTCTTAATGCCAGGAAGCTTTTTTTAATACTCTGTTGGAATGTGCCCAACCCCACTAGGTTAATGTGTTGGACCAGGGGAAATTAGGTTAGTCCCCACAGAGCTCACTTGGACTGATCAACTCTTAGACCCCCTTATTTTACAAGATTGTTGTGGGGAGAAAAACATACCTTCTGATCTTCAAAGGAAAAGGCAAGATATAAATGCAATAATGGATAAATGGTTAGATAAAGGTAAGACAGATAGTTAGATGGATAGATATACCAAGGCAAACACCATTTTGTGCAATATGTTACTGTATTTCTTTATGGTTGCATCAAAGGGAGCAAGATATTTCACAAAAAAGAGGCTTAATTAGATTTAAGGGAACTTGCCTTCTGATATATTAGGACTGTGGTAAAGAGACTAACAAGTGTTTATTTTATAGTCTAACATGGGTTGTACACAGGAAACACACTATAAATATTTTGTCCCAGAAATATGGTTGCATTGACATGGAACATATAGGACAATTGAACAAATGTAAGTTCCTCCACCTGAAGAGAAGGAAAGAAAAGGTTCATTCCTTTTTACCCCTGAATGATTCTTCTGGGCAGCTTTTCAATCTGCATGAATCTTGTCCTCCTTTGTATCTGGTCAACCACATTTAAAAAGGATGTAGAAGATTCTCAACCATCCAAAGATTAGAAAAGAATACAAAATGGATTATTTAACATATTTTTGCATCTATAAACAACATTATCTTGCTCAGCTTCTATTCATCTGCCATGGCTGTCAATATCTGTGTTAAGCAAGATTTTCAAGGACTCCAAATTATAGTGTCTTTATGCAATATGAGCAACTCAGCATTCTGGGATGAAAAGGAGATCTGAAGGGCAACAAGTCTAGCAGATAAGGCAGGGTTTCATCAACATTTCCCTTGATTGTGATCATATTCCCATCTACTCATTGCAGACTCCTGAAAAGAACACATGTACACTCTTTATTATACTGTATTTTTGCTGTTGTAACAGTAATTTCTAGTTAAATGCTACAGTTTATTTGCTCTTTGTTGTGGTGCAGCTGGGGACACAGGGGCATAATTCTCCCAGGTTTATTTTGGGAATAAATAAATATACTTTAAAATCTTGCTTCCTCCACCCCAAAGTTATAAACTTAAGAGTTCTAATATCAAAGTTTGATCTTATATTGAGGTTGAAACATCAGGTAGAAGTGCAGATCATCTAAGTTTAAGTTTGAAGGCAAGTTTTCTGACTTGATGCTAATTTCTGCTAGTCTTTATGAACCTGAACAACATAGCTTCTTTGGGACCTTGCCTTCAAAATACTGGCCAGTTCTACATTTTCTACTTCATCTTCTTGCCTTTTCTTAAGTTATGCAGTCATTTTCTTCAGTTCTTCCCTATTTTTCTGTCTAATCATCTTTTTATTCTTCCTTTTCTACCTTCAGCCTTTTCTTTAGTTTCTATGTCATGTGATTCCTTGACACCCCTGGAGGTGAGGTTGGAGCTGTCTTACGGCCAAGGTTTGTTCCATGTTTTTCTCTGTCTTTCAAGTCTACCCTCTGTTGTTCCATAATCTCTGTTTTTCTCAGCTGCTCCCTCTCCATACTATGCTGTTTCTATTCTCCTGTTAAGGACACTTATACATCAGGACTCAAATAATATCAGGACTATAATAAATGGTATCAGCTGATCTTTTGATACATGTAACCCAAAGAAGCCATTCCTTTTCACCAGTGACATTCTTGGCACTGGGAATTTAAAAGGTTCTTTGCTTCTACCACTATATATATCGGTTAGGGATAATTCTTTTTGATCCATCAATTCTGAACATACAAGTAGTCCTTGTTTAGTGACTGCATTGTTTAGTGCATTTGCAGTTATGATGAAAAAGTAACTTTGTGACCAGTTCTTGCATTTACGACCTTCGCAGGTCTGTAAAGCAAAGGAAAGCTGAAGTAAGATCATAAGCACAGGCATGCTTTCACTTAGCAACTGCTTTGCCAGTTGTCAGTGCCAGCTGTGGTTGCTAAACAAGGATAACCTGTATTATAAACAAATATGCACCTGTGTCAACCATTCCCAAAATACCATGATTGACAACAGATTTCTTTAACTTTTCATTTAATTCATTACAGTTCATTTGCAAGAAATCCATGTTGGCACTCTTCTTCAATTTAATTTTTTAATTTAA